ATGCTCAGAACTCACTAAAAAATTAAAATCACTCAGAACTATCACAAAAAAATTGCTCCGAACTATCAAAAAATAAATAAAAATCACTCAGAACCATTGTTAAAAAATTTGCTCAGAACTATCGCTAAAAAATAAAAATAACTCAGAACTATATAAAAAAAAATATATCTAACACCTTAGCAAATGCATAGCAACGTTCTCAAATCACCAGAATCTAGTAACTGCATAGCAACATTCCCGCTCAGAACAAATTAGCAACTGGATAGCTACATATTTTTAAAAATGCCCAAACACCTTAGCAACCGCATAGCCACACCTTGTCAACTAAAGGGAACAGCATAGCATTGCACGGCACAATATATTAGTCTAGTTGATATTTAGTCATTCCAAATCAGTGCGATCTTCAGTTTATCTTCCTGTTTTCCCTTCATTAACTGATCCAGTGTGTGGATCTCTCGTGCAGCACTCGAGTGGACAGCCCGAAGTTTAACAGAGCAATTCAATGTCATATAAGACTCATATAAAGTGAGGTCTAGAGTTCAGCTGACGGTCATAAAGCAGTTCCAGCTTTTACAGTGGCATCCAGTGAGAGATGCAGGCAGAGCGGAGCATATGGCGTCCTGTCTGGGGATCATGTCCTGTTTGATTCGTTCACGGGAGCCAGTTTGTAACGAACGCTAGACAAGACGCCACCGTCCACACGCACTACACTGCTGTTGTGTTTCCTTTTACATGTCAGTCTGTCCATCAAAGCTCTGATTCTTCTGCTGTCGCCCCGTCGGTTTAGCTTTAAAGTTGAGCGTACGTCCTCCTCTGCCTCTTTAAATCTCTTTTCTGTCTGTATAGGGGCCGCGTCGGCCCTTATAGCGGCTCCATTAGCCGTAGTTTCATGTAGCATGTGTTCTTCTATACAGCAGGGTAATTACGTGAGGTGATTACATGCATTCTGAGAGGCTGAACACATGAAAGTGCTGCAGTGATTGTGAGGAGAGGCCCGTCTTTAACATGCCTGCCATTTACAGCAACAGGCTTTTACGTGCTGAACGCTGGAATCTGTACAGAGGTTTGAATAGGCACTCTAATTCTGAGCTGACAGTGTTATTTAATATTTATAACATTTATTTATACTATTTTGAATGAGCTTTTATTTGTATATTTTCAGATTTCATTTTAAATTAGTTTATAATTTTGTTTCGTAATTTCGTCTTTTTGTAATTTTTCTTAGTGTTAGTAGTTTTTATTTGTATTGGATTAATAGGTCTGTAAAAAATTACCTACCTATTCTGATAGAGAGAGAGAGAGAGAGATGATAGATAGATAAAAATAAAAAACTATCACGGAGGAAAAAAACGCTCAGTATTATCGCTAAAAACACTCCGAACTATCGCAAAAAAGATTGCTCAGAACTATTGCTAAAAAATAAAAATCGCTCAGAATTATCGTTAATAAATAAAAATCGTTCAGAACTATTGCTAAAAAATTAAAATCGCTCAGAACTATCCCCAAAAAATATATATTGCTCAGAACTATCGCTAATAAAATAAAAAATCGCTCAGAACTATTGCTAAAAAATAAAAATCGCTCAGAACTATCGCTAATAAAATAAAAAATCCTCAGAACTATTGATAAAAAATTAAAAATCCTCAGAACTATCGATAAAAAATAAAAATCGCTCAGAACTATCGCAAAAAAATATATATTTGCTCAGAACTATCGAAAAAAAAATAATTTGCTCAGAACTATCGATAAAAAAAAAAAATCGCTCCGAACTATCGCAAAAAAAAAATATTTTGCTCAGAACTATCGAAAAAAAAACATTTGCTCAGAGCTATCGAAAAAAAAAAAAATTTGCTCAGAACTATCGCAAAAAAAAAAAATTTGCTCAGAGCTATCGAAAAAAAAAAATTTGCTCAGAACTATCGCAAAAAAATACAAATTGCTCAGAACTATCGCTAAAAATTTTAATTGCTCGAACTATCGCTAAAAACAAAATCGCTCAGAACTATCACAAAAAAATTCAAAAATAAAAACCACTCAGAACTATCACTAAAAATAGAAATTGCTCGAACTATCGCTAAAAACAATCGCTCAGAACTATCACTAAAAAAATTAGACAGACTGTTTATAGTCTCTTCATGGTCTGCTCATTCGTTCCGCTCTCACAGCGTGACCTTTGACCTCATCAATAGGGTCAGCTTCCTGTGGTCTGTTGTTTGGGTTTCTAGCAGCCAATTGATCTGCTTCAGTGTGAAGAGGCAGGAATTCTCTGAAATTCACATCAGCCAGACAAATCCAATTAAATACACTCGACACAATATGAGCACATGCTGGATCTACAGAAATTGAGTTGATGCTGTATATGTAGGCCGTTTATATGTGTTTTTACTTCTCAGAAAGACTGCTTCTGGTTCCTACAGTGGAGTGACAGCTGTGAGATCTGCATCCTCCGCTCATTTATTAGTGACGCAGGCAGAGTTTGAGGTGAGCTGTTCTCCATCATATCACTGTCTCCTCACTGTTTCTCGCTGATCTATCAGATGAGTCCGTGTTTGATAAATAAACAGCTGTTTTGTTCCTGAAGTCATAAATGTCATTCCCTCACAGGTCAGTCATGTTGCCACAACTAAAAAATACCTGACACGGGGCATTTGCTTGACTCCATGTGGACTAAATAAAAATAAAATGAGAGCATACATGCATAGATAAAAGAATTCATGATAAATTAAAGAGTTAAGTAAAAATAAGTAGAAAACTAATTTAAATAAAGATTTATTTAAATATCAGTGAATCAAGGACTGAAAGAATTCAATAAATAATTTAGAAAAAAATAAACATTTATTTATTAATTTAGGATTATACATTTAGACAATTCCTAAAAAAGTTAAAATGATGAGAGAATAATTAATAAATAATAAAAATATAAATAATCAAAAACAAATAAAAAAAATCAGTAATTAGAAAGAAAATGTAAACAATATATTTAAATAATAAAAATGAAATTATTTATGAAAGATAGATGGCTAGACAGTAGTGTTGGTGTTTGGGAGTTAATGTGTGACAGCAGTAGATCTTCATGAGCTGCGCGGCGCCAGCGGGAATCCGCGGACCATCATCATCATCATCATAATTATCTTCTTCTCTAGTGCCCTGCAATGACTCTCTCTCTCTCTCTCTGTGTCACTTATGGAATGTCGTGATCGTGAAGTCTGAAGCGGTTTATTTCCAGTGTCCGCGCGCAACCCATTGTGTCGTCCATTAATCAGAGAGCGCGAGCCCTTTTATTCCGCGTCCAGTTAATGCCAGAGAGCAGACATGAGAGCTGTTGAGCTGTTTATGAGTGTGAGAGAACAGTGACTCATCTGATGCGGCAAAACTCTGCACATCCTCAGAAAAATCTTTTCTATTACCGTCTCTGACTCTCGCTCAGTCACGTGTGTGTGTGTGTGTGTGTGTGTGTGTGTGTGTGTGTACAGGTTTATATACCCTGGTGGGGACTTAAACCTGACTACACACAGACTCATGGGGACTCGTGTCACGGTGGGGACCTAAATTGTGGTCCCCACGGGTACAAAAGCTTATAAATCATACAGAATGAAGTTTTTTGACAATCTAAAAATGCAGAAAGTTTCCTGTAAGGGGTAGGTTTAGGGGTAGGGTTGGTGTAGGACAATAGAATATACGGTCTGTACAGTAGAAAAACCATTACGCCTATGGAGAGTCCCCACAAGGATAGCTGACCAGACATGTGTGTGTGTGTGTGTGTGCTTTGAAAATGTGAACTATTTCTCACCAGTATGCGGCAGCAGTTCTTATATACAGACAGAAACATGTTCACCCATTCACAAACACTGCCAATATAATAATTATTATTATTATTTTTAAAATAAACACATTTTTTCCAACCTCTAAATATCACATATATTATAAATAACAATGTATATATGTATACAACAACAATAATATTAATTTGAATATATTTAAGTAGAATATATAATATAATAAATGTTGATAAATAATTTATAATAAAATACAGTAATAATAGTAAATAATGATGAGTTTACTATTTAATATTATTATTATTATTATTAGAAGTAGTAGTATTAAAATGATTTTACAAATAATGTATTTAAAATAAAAACTATTTACATAAAAAAACATTGATTAAAAATAATGTATTCACTATTTTGCTCCAAAGTATAAATAATATATATTATACATATGTATTATTTTATGTTAATTCGGTATATTTGTATGCACATTTCACAACTTTTTAAAAGAAATGTGTTTTCATGTCATGACTGCATCATAAACATTTGTTGAGTTTGTGTGTTTTCAGTGTGTGTGTGTGTGTGTGTGTGTGTGTGTGTGGTTCATTCTTAATGTGAATTTACCTGCTCGCCTGGCGCCAGTGTATGTGTGTGTGTGTGTGTGTGTGTTTCCTTAAATGAGACTTCATAGCACAACAACACAACCACACGATTCTAATTCCATCTGTTACACTGTAACTTTATAAACTCTGCGTCTGATGTCTCAGTCTGATGGTACATGTTACTTTGTTTTATGTTTGCGCAACACAATCACTTTTTCCTGCCTATAATAACACATAGCATGTTTATGTGTGTGTGTGTGTGTTTAGTAATATAATCTAGAACAGAGAAAATGTTTCAACTAAACATTATTTGGGATTTTATATGCAGAAGATCAAAATAGAATAGAATGGAATAGAGAAAAAACCCCATAAAAGATAGTGATAAATACTATATATTTAGTAGCATTAAAAGAGTTCGTCAAGAATTCGCTTTTTATTCTGTTAAATGTATAACCTCTAGTGTAAACTTATGTATAAAGTGATATATTTGACAAATAATACACATTCTTACATTCATCATATGTGGTCTGTTTGGTAGTTTTTCAGTAGCTTAACCAACTGTTTCATCAAATAAGTGTCTTGGTATGAGCTACTGATTATAATTATTATTCTTATACAGTGATGAATGTTGTGTTTTCATGTGGATAAAGGCAACAGACTATTCAGCTGGACCTCCAGTCTGTGGTTGTTCATGTAAAACCCGCCAGAGGCCCCAGCGTTCAGTGAAGTTAGTTTGCAGTGATCAGTGTGTGTGTGTGTGTGGAGTCTGGCGCCAGGCGGCCGTGTGTTTATCAGAGCTGTCCTGCCTGTAACCCTCAGCACTACACAAACACTTTTCCCAGAGAATGCCAGGCCTTATCATCAGCCCACATCTCCACTCACGTCCTCTCTCTCGCTCTCTTTCTTCTCCTCCAGAATCCCCCCCACCCCCGTATTCAAGATATCCCACCGATTTTCTTAAACCACCTGGTAAGTTGAAGTTTCATTTCAAATTTAAGCAGATATGGAGTCTTTCAAAAGTTTAAAGTTGTTTGCAATGCAAGTTTTTTGCGCATTTACTATGGTATACCATGGTATTCTCACCATTTAAATACCATCCCACTGATCTTTCTTAAACCAGATTAAAAGTTGAAGTTTCATCTTAAATTTAAGCAGATTTGGAACCTTAAGAAAGTTAAAAATGGCTTGCAATTAATTTTTTATGCATGTTTACTATGGTAATACCATGGTATTCTTAACAATTTAAATACCATCCCACAAATGTTCTTAAACCACCTCATATGTTTCAGTTTTATCTTAAATTTAAGCTGATGTGGAGTCTTTAAACAGTTTAGTTTGATTTAAAAAATTGCTTGCAATGTAAATTTATGGACATTTACTATAGTAATACCATGGCATTCTGACCATTTAAATACCATCCCACCAATTTTCTTAAATAACTTTATATGTTTAAGTTTCATCTTAATTTCAAGCTGATGTGGAGTCTTTAAAAAGTTTTGTTTGAGTTAAAAATAGCATGCAATGAAGGTTTTGGACATTTACAATGGTAATTTCATGGTGTTTTTACCACATAAATACCATGGTACATGAATATGGTAATCATCTAGTACAATGCTACATGTAATGATACTGTTTTGTAAAGCTTAATAAGTTTGGTAGGTTGTTTAGACATTGTACCATGGTAATAATGTGGTATATGAAGATAATAATCATTTTGTGGCATGATTTCATATTTACTTTAGTGTTTTTACCAGAGTACTGAATGATTAATACCACATCTCTAAGATGCTTTTAACTCCAACGTGCTAGTAATTAGAGTAAATGCATAAATAGCACAGTATATGAATATGGCAATGATTCTTAAAGATGTTATGATGTTGTTTGGTCCGAATGATGCCAGTCATCTGAATGCTTGCGAGTGACTTCGGAAACGCGGATCACATAAAGGAAAAACTGAGAGAGCTGATTTATCTGCCGAATTAATCTGAGGTTTTGGGAGTGTTGCTTTGCGTCTTTCCTCTGAGCGCTTGCTCTCTCTCTACCCATAATGCCGTATGGCTCTTGAGTATGTCCTGTATATTCGCTTCAGATAAGCGTGTTGTGTTTGGCAGCGTCCCGGGTGAGGTTTCCTGCCGATCGCCCCGTAAAGATCCTTCTCAATCCCGGCCAAAACTGCTCGGTTAAACAGTATCACTTACGCATTGAGAAATTCAGCCCAGCTTCGACGAGTGCCTGTTTCGAAATCGTTTCTTTTAGCCTGAATTTGTGCGTCTTGATCATGTTTATAGTTACGTGTGTGTGTGTGTGTGTGTGGGAATGACTCTACGCTGACTGACATTGGCTTTCACTCTTTGAGTCATTCTTCTTTTATGAATCAGTTTGGGGTTTCGAGGCAAATGAGAGAGAAAGCAAGAATGTGAACGAGAAAAGGCGCCGCGGTGGAGGACAGGAAAGCCAGTTTGGGGAGGACATTTCCTGTGAGGACACACACACACACACACACACTTCCATTAGCTGCGTTCGGCTCTTGGACGCGAGACAGAGAACAATAGAAGACGGGCGATATTCTCCGACTGAAAGAGAGAGTGACACTGAGCGCTGGGAGGAAGTTATTCATCGCTTGTGTGTGTGTGTGTGTGTGTGTGTGAGAGGGTGAGTGCGTCTCGTTGATAACGTCAGGATGAGGCAGACCGTCTGTCAGTGGTTTAGGGCGACTCTCATGCATTATTGACGGCGCGGTGCGACGAAACGACCATTGATGCAAGCGAATTTGCACATCAATCGCTTCAAGCTCTTAGACACAAACGTTCACGCTTGTAATGACAAAGAAAGCAAAGTTTCGTCTAGAACTACTGAACTGTCGTTAGCTAGGGTTTGGTTGACTTGCAAGTGCTTTTGCGTGCGGCAGAGATTGTGGTTGTCATTTTAGCCACGTCACGGGATCCGTTTACACGCTCGACTCGTCTAAAGCTGTTTGGATCTCTGAAGGTTTTATTGGGTGAAACTTGCGCCTGTGATGGATTGAATGGTCCGTGATGGACAGCTTCAAAGCATCTGTTTTACAACACCATTGTTTCTTTGCTCCCTGGAAAATGGAACATCACGTGTTTGAAGCTGCTGCTTGATCCCACATCTTTTCCTCTCTCTCTCTTTGTGGTCAGGTTCAGGTTCGACCGTGTGTCTCATTAGATTGACCACAGCTCAGGGAAAGTGTCCAACTCACAAGTTGCTTCCGAAAGTGACACCATTTCTCAATTCACGCTCACAATTTGGCTAATTTTCAGAAATATCCTCTAATATTAAACTTTAAAACTCATTATCCTTACAAATGGTAGGATGTCACCATGGTAGCCTACATGTCCAAAAATTCATGTTAAATCAATGATATGTCTTATATTTCAATGGAAATTACCCTAGAGCTTTTTTGATACTGGTGAATGGTAACATGACATGAAATAAACAAATAAAATATTCACTCATGAACTTCTGAACCCGCAGTTTGGGAAAACGAATTAGAAATTAGATATTGCTGTGCTGCGCTTATGTATTTGTTAACTTTATTGCTTTATCATTGTTGATATTTGTGTTGAGATTTACAATGCTAGAATATCATAGTCATAACACTAGTTCATGTAAAGGCATTGAAATGATTCATGTTTAGTCCCAAACATAGACATTTATTTTTTAGCAAAAACTTTTAAACAAAGCTAATTTAATGGGAAGTATTGTTAAATATGGTAATACGGGTTAATGCTAATGCTAACTTGTGGTGTGCATTTCAAAATCCCATGCTACACTTGGGATTTTGCAAAGCACCTCACAAATTAGCCTTAGCCTGTTTTTTGAGCTATTTAAACAAAGTTTCTGGCTACTTATCTTTGTTAGCATAAACCAGGTGTTATAATTTATAATTATATTTACCATAAATCACCATGTAGGTAACTATTTAGTTCTTAAAGCATCTGTGTTTGGAGTCATGTTCATTGTGCTTGACGTGCTAGTTCATGTAAAGTCGTTGAACTGAATGCATTAATTACTAGGAAATTCAGTGCCTTTAGCAAAACCTAACGCAAACATTTAAAGCTAATTTGATGAGAAGTCAAATTAAGACTAAGTCTAATGCGTGGGATTTTGAAAACACATCCTCACTAGTTAGCATTAGCATTAGCCTGTTCTTTTAGAAACCTAAAGTTCTTGTTAGCGTATACCATGTGTTAGCTAAACTGGTCTGAATCGGATCTATGATTACCTTAAATTACCATGGTAAGTACTATGGTAGTTCTTAAACGATCCTCGTTGGGAGCTTTCGTTGTGACTGACGTACTTGCTCCCGCAGTTGTTTGATCACAGTAATTCCAGGAAACTGACATTAGATCCGAGAACATATGGAGACTATATTCCAGACCCGTTTATTAAAGGGTTAACATGAAAGAGGGAGCGACAGGGAGTTTTTCCTGTCTGCTCGCACACCAATTAGAAAATTGACTGTACACAGTTTTCAAGGCTGCTGCGATTTCCTGATTAGCTCGTTGTTTTGGACTTGGAGTATATCCTGCTAAACAGTGTATTCCTATTAGAGCGCTCCCGCTCGCAAACCGCCTTGGCGCAGACTTTAACCTCAGAAACACTTTATTTATTTTGCATGACAGAAAAGTAGAAGGAGCAAGAAAATGAACGTCCGATATGACCTAAAAATGGTCTGTTTTTTTGTCCTAAGAGCCAGGGCGGGTCTGTAACCCTGTGATTGACAGCTGTCACTCTGTTTCTCCGCAGATTCTCCAGGTTCTGTGCCTGCTTCCACTGAAACTGGAGGAACGGCGTATTCGGCCCCTATGGGGTTCTCAGGTAAGCGCTCAAGACCGTCCTTACCTGTTTGAGGGTCTTTGAACCCGTCTGTGCTGATTTATTGAATCCAAATGTTTGAAAACAGAGCCGAAAATGAGGAGCTGGAGGAGAGAGAGTTGGAGATTTGTTTTGATTGAGTGTCTTCTTGTATTGTCTTCTAAAGGTAGCAAACACCACAGAAACGAGTGCTAAAGTCAACATGAAATCAAAATGGACCATATTTACTTCCTTAATGCACATTCAGGTCTTATCATGCACATTGCTCCAAAGAACAGGTGTTTGTCTTTGTAATCTTTCATCAAAATGTTGTAACAACTTCTGCACCTAAAAATACTTTCCTGATCCACTGATGTCTGCAAGGCCATGCAGTCTATTGGATGATGTTAACTAGTACTAGTCAACTAGCTATGTAGGCGTTGTTTTACCAATCAAAATCAATTAAATTGGTTTGATTGGAAACACGTCGCAGTACAGACAAGTTAGTTTAGTATTATTTATATTCTGTTATATTTTATAATAAATAAACGCTAATTCTAAATATTTTTTGTTTTCCTTTTTAATTTTAGTTTACGTTTTAGAATGTGCTTTTTCATTTTTATTAGTTTTTGTAATATTTGTTTATTATTATTTTTAATTTTAGTACTTCAAATTAAACAAATTTCACTTCAGTTAATTGTCAATTGTTAATTTTCTAATAATTTTTTTTTTTGTCATTTATATTGTAATTAATGAAAAATGTTGCCTTGGCAATTTTTTAATACTTTGAGTTTGTCATTTTGTCATTTAGTGTATGCTTTTTTTTTTATATATATATACTTGGCTTTAATTATTTAATTTGTTTTACATTTCTTTTTTCGTTTAGGTTTTTCATCTACTATTTTATTTTATTTTGGCTTTATTTCAATGAACAAAAATGATTTTTAAAACTTTTACATTAAGTTAACAATAACAACAATGATTTCATGTTAACTTATTTCAGTTAGTTTGCAAGTTTTTAATCTAATATTTATATTTTATTTTATTTCACTTGATGAAACTATTTTTAATAGTTTCATTTTAGTTAACAATACCAACACTGGTTTCATGTTGACTTTACACTGTAAACATGGGCAAATTGTGTGTGTGTGTGTGTGAGAATGAATGTTTATTTTATTTTATTAGTTTTATGATTGTTTATGATCTGCTCTCCTTTAGTAGACCAAACCTGGTCAATTGTCCCGTCCTGAGCTCTGAATGTGCGCAAACAGCGGCGATTGGGTTTACGAGAGACCCTGAGCGAGTGAGAGAGGGGTTAGTTTGGTCTAGGCCGGGTTCCTGCGTACAGATGGTTCTCATTACAGCGACTTTAAAGAGTTTTTATGATGGTGTTTAATTCAGCGCTGGGCGGAGTGTGTGTGTGTGTGTGTGTGTGTGTGAGTGTGTGAGTGAAGGTGTGTGTGTGTGTGTGTGTGTGTGTGTGTGAGTGAAGGGTCTTTAGATGGGTTTTCAGATAAGAGCGGCTAAATGATGGAAGCTTTACACAAACACATGTTAAAGTACAGCACTCAGTGTGTGTGTGTGTGTGCTGCTCCCTTTCACTGGCCTCCACCAGCATTTGTTTTATGTTTCTTGTTTGTGTGTGTGTGGGATGAAAGATTGAGCGCTTCAGTCCCAAACAAAAGCCTCCTCCCGACTCCATTTACATTTCTGACTGTGATTGCGTCCTGCTTTCGTTCAGAGGTGTGTTTTTC